GGGAAGCTGAGGCAGGTGGATCACCTGAGGTCAGGATTTCAAGACCAGTCTGGCCAACATAGTGAAATCCCATCTCTACTAAAAATACAAAACATAGCCGCCAGGCGTGGTGGCTTACACTTGTAATCTCAACTACTTGGGAGGCTGAGCTAGGAGAATCGCTTGAGCCTGGGAGGCGGAGGCTGCAGTGAGTCCAGATTACGCCATTGCACACAAGCCTGGACAACAAGAGCGAAACTCCGTCTCAAAAAAAAAAAAAAAAGATATAGTTATCCTGGAGGTACTGATGGGGAGGAAACACACACAGGGGCTGGGGTGGTCTCATGCTGCCTGGGTGTGGGTTAGAGGCGTGTGTTCGCTTTGTGAAGGTGCCTAGGCAGCCGCAGCTTCAACACCTCCATCGTAGGTCAGCTCAACACAGTCATTTATTCAACCAGCATGTTTGGGAAGCCAAGGAAGGAGGGAAGGTGGGAGGAGGCCTGAGCGCTTCTCATTCCCCTACAGAACCAGTAGACCTGGATAATTGACCCAGCCACTTAATGTTTTCCACAGTCATTTTTCTAAATCAAAGGAGATCATTTAGGAACCAGTGTCTTTTGTTGCGGTAAAATATTTATCTGAAATAAAACTCTTTCATTTTTAAATGAAACTCTTTCCATTTAAATCCAAATGAAATAAAATTTGATATTTTATTTTGAAATAAAGCCTGTCATCTTACCCACGCCACTTCTCAGCGACTGAACTTCCTGCTCTCGTCTCTGTCTCTCTGCAAAAGCACCAAGCAAGACGTCGGGAATAACATCTAGCAATTTAATGATGGTTATTTCTTAGTGGTTGGATTTAAAGTGACTTTTAGAGACTCTTTTTTGTACATTTTTGCGTTCGTTCACATTTTAATAACAAGCATTTTTCAAATTGATGAAGCTGCTCTGCTGGGCACGGTGGCTCACACCTGTAACCCCAGCACTTCGGGTGGCCAAGGCAGGTGGATCACGAGGTGAACGGTTGGAGACCAGCCTGACCAACATGGTGAAACCCTGTTTCTACTAAAAATACAGAAGTTAGCCGGGTGTGGTGACACATGCCTGGAATTTCAGCTATTCAGGAGTCTGAGGCAGAAAATCACTTGAACCCGGGAGGCAGAGGTTGCAGTGAGCTGAGATCGCACCACTGCACTCCAACCTGGGCGACAGAGCAAGACTCTGTTTCAAAAATAAATAAATAAATAAAAATAAAGCTGTTCTGTTGTGCTCCATCACTAGCTGGGTGACCTGGAGCAAGCTTCTTACCTTCACTGAGCCTTGGTTTTTGCAGCTATAAAATGCAGATACTAATATTATCAAATGCATAGGGTTTTTTAGAAAGATTAAATGAGACTATTTTTCAAAGTGCCTGTAAGGTAAGGGAGCCCTTAACACACAGGAGCTGCTGTTATTACTGCCAAACATCAATAGGGAAGAAAGCAGCAAAGCGACTCAGGCCTCCCTTCAGGAGGTGGTAGTCTGGCACAAAGAGATGAGAGCAAATGCCCAGATGGAGCGCCACGAGCAGCCTACTGCCCAGGCGGCCACAGGCATGAAGTGAGGGCTGAAGCCTCGGGGACACTGAGGGGTGGGCGGAAGCGGAGGGGTGCAGCACCAGCCCTGCAGACTTGGAGGGTCTGAGTCAGCGTCCTGTTCTGAGGGTGTTGCCTGGCTGGGGAGTGGGGGAGACCCTGGGCCAGCAGAGGACTCCGGCGGAGGGGGGCTGTCTACAGGAGGCGATGGGTTGGAAAGCCCTGCTGTCCCCGGAGACTCCTACATGAGGCACGGGTCCTTGGGCCTGCAGCCCCGTGCTGCTGCTGTAGACAGTGACAAGATTTGGCCCTGTGTCCCCACCCAAATCTCATCTGGAACTGTAATCCCCATGTGTGGAGGGAGGGACCTGGCGGGAGGTGACTGGACCCGTGAGTGGCTTCCCCCGGCTGTTCTCGTGGTAATGAGGGAGCTCCCCTGAGATCTGACGTTTTAACCACGGCAGCTTCCACACGCTCTCTCTCCTGCCACCTTGTGAAGAAGGTACTTGCTTCCCTTTCACCTTCTCCCACGATTCTAAGTTTCGTGAGGCCTCCCCAACCATGCAGAACTGGGAGTCAATGAAACCTCTTTCCTTTATAAATTACTCAGTCCCAGTCAGTTCTTTATAGCAGTGTGAAAACAGACTAATACAGGCAGCATCAGAAGAGGCTCAAGTTCATGCAGTGCTCCTGGAAGAGACTGAAGGCACAGCCAAGGCGTGGAGGCTCTTGAGAGGAAAAAGGTGCTCAGTGCACAGGCAGGGCTCTCTCCAGAGAGGTCCGCTCAACTCCTGCAGGCTGGAAAATCTGCCCTGTCCCACAGCCCTCAGCGTGCCTGGTGTCTGGGCATCTCCCACCTGTATCATGTCACCCCCTGACAGCAAGCACCTCAGGGTGGGGTTGTCAGACAAAATACAGAACTCCCAGATCAATCTGCGTTTCAGACAAACAACAAATAAATTTCAGTTCAAGTGTGTCCCATGCAATATTTGGGACATGCTGGTGCCAAATATTGCATAGGACATTGTATTAGTTCGTTCTCACATTGCTAGGAAGAACTACCTGAGACTGGGTAATTTATCAAGAAACGGGGTTTAATTGGCTCATGGTTCTGCAGGACTGTACCAGAAGCACGGTTGGAGAGGACTCAGGAAACGTACAGCCATGGTGGAGCAGGAGGAAGAGGGTGGAGGGGAGGTGCTTCACACTTTTAAACAACCAGATCATGCACTATCACAAGAACGGCAAGGGGAAACCGCCCCATGAGCCAGTCACCTCCCGCCAGGCCCCTCCTCCGATATTGCAGATTACAATTTGACGTGAGATTTGGGCCAGGACACAAATCCAAACCATATCAGACATACTTATCCTAAAACAGTATTCATTGTTATCTGAAATTCAAATTTACCTCCGTGCCCGTATCTTCTTTTACTAAAGCTGCAACCCCCTTGGGTGATGCTGTTCCCTTGCTTACCTGGTACCACCATGCCAGTCCTGTGCCCAGTGCATAGCAGGCTTTCAATTAATGATGGCCAAGGCCAGGCTGGCCAGTGCCTCCCCAGTCTGACACAAGTGTGTCGGGCGCTCATGGGCACCGTCCCTTCCAGCAAGGCCACCTCCGCCTGCAGGGAAGGACCTCAGGTAGGCAGGCCCAACGCACCTGCTGACACCAACACCGCACTCAGAAGCTCCCCCCGCTTGTTGAAAGGGGCTTCCACACACAGCATCTCCCTCTCCCCCGTCCTCCTCCCAGAGACTGCTGAAGGGTGGGTGTGGGACCCCCAGGGTTCCCAGGGTTATTCCTAGGGGTGGACTTCTCATAAACAATATTGCCCCTCCGCCCAGGGCCCAGGGCAAGGAGTAGCGAGCCTGGACCTGCAGTTGCCGTGGCCCCAGCCCAGGGGAGGGGGCATCACAACCGGGGTCACGTGGAGTCTGAGGTGGGCGGGACGGCTGCCTCCTGTGACATCAGCCCATCAACTCCCCTCCCTCTTCTGCCCTCACTAGGTCGGGTCTCTGGCCCTTGTGGCCACAAGGCTCCCGACTCCTGTGTCCTGTGAAAGAGCCACACATGGCAGTTGGGGGCTGCCCCTGCCAAGACCGGCCAGGATTCCCGCTGGCTTCCCCGTGTCTGGACCACCCACTCTAGTAGAGGAGCGGGAAGCCCAGAGAGGCAAGTCACATGTCTAGGAAGCGAAGAGCGAAGAGCGAAGAGGGACCCCTGCCCCACGGCCGCCTGAGGGGTGAGAGGGCTGAGGCTGGGGTCTGCGGTTACCAGAGCTGAACCTACAGACCTTATGCCACTCCCGTTTTTGCCTCTGGGGAGACCCATGGGGAGATCATGGGGCCTGGGGGGCCCCGCCTGCCTTGGGCGTTGGTTGCCACATCTGCAGATGACATGGGAGAAACTTGTCCTTCCAGGAGGACGGGAGGGCAGGGCACCTGAGGGGGGCTGCCCAGACATAGGGGCATCCCCAGCACTCACCCCATCCTGTGAAGGCAAGAGGAGGAGCTGCACCCCTGGGTCTGTCAGGCAGCAGCTGCCCCCAGAGGGAGAGCTGGGGGGACCCTACCGCACCCCCTTCAGAGTAGCCCCTCCACTGCTGCCCTGGACCCCACGGCAGCAGGCTGGAGTTCCCAGGGCTATGGGGACAGGAGGCTGTGGCTGGCTGAGGGCTTTGTGTCAAGGTTCCCACTGCCTCTGGGGACTGGGGACAGCGAGCCACACCCCGACAGTACTTAGCACCTGAGCCTGCTGAGCTCCTGAGAGCCCCGGAGCTGCTAAATTCCCTGAGGCAGAGCAGGGAAGAGGGAGGCCCTGGTGTGCCTGGTTCCTCGGGGCGGAGCACTCAACACCCCTCCCCTGAATTGTTGGGGCCCCTGGGGGCCAAGGAGAGATAGGGAAGAGCCACCTGCCCTCACTCCACTTGTTCTGGGCATGGCTGGGCCCTGGCCTGTTGGGTGCCGCCACCCCTGTGCCTGCAGCCCTGCTCTGAGCCCTGCTCCCTCACCCCACCTCTTCCCATCTCCTCCCCTTCCTCCTCCTCCCAAGGAGGCAGATGGTGGTGGAAACTCCGTTTCCTTCATTTTCCGGAGCGTGACTCAGCACCACAGCTGCCGCCTCAGCCCCCACGCAGCATCGTGAAGCCTGCCCTCCCCTACAGCGGGGCCCTGGGGCTCCCCAGAGGACCCCCTCCCATAACTCATCTGGAGAATGCGGGGCTGCGGGCTGCCGAGCCCACCCTCCCCGGACCCCCACCCCAGAGAACCCCTCGGAGGTGGCTAATTTCCTGCCCACCCGGCTGCCACAGAAGCCCGCAGGGCGGCAGCGGGGTGGGCGGGGAGGGCGTGTGTCTGCGGAGGGCGCGTGCCTGGGCGGGACAGGTGGGCGGGGCTGCAGCCCCAGATCTCTGGGACACACTGAGGTGACCACAGGGCTTCTTAGCTTCTGGTGGCTGCCCACCCAGGGGCTGAGCGAAGGGGAGGGGAAGCCCTAGGAGGGAGCCCCGGAGAGGACCCAGCAGAAGACACAGGGAGGTAGGAAAATGAGAGAAATTTCCAGAAGCAAGAGGCTTGGCCCACGTGGCATGCTGCAGAGCCAGCCTCAGCCCACCAGAGAGTCTCTGAGGACACTGATCCCGGCCCACCAGCGTGGCCCCAGGTCCTGCTCGGAGCTCCAGATGGCCCTTCCCCTCCCTACATCAGAGCCTCCCAGGGAGCCTTGGAGATCTTCTTTGCTCGAGAACAGAGGAACCCTCACTGCTGGGAGCCCCCATGGCTCCTCCCACTCCCCCCACTCAGCTGCCTCTCTCCTCCTCGCTCTCTTTGCTCCCTTTGCAGTGGGCTTGGGCCAGGAGGGTCCTGGCACCCCCCGCTGCTCTGTAAACCCCTGGGGGGCAGCTGGGGTCGGCTCCCCATTCTTGCCTGGCCAAGATCACAGAGCTGTGACAGCAAAGCTTGCCTCGGGGTGTGGGCACACACTCACCATCCCAGCATCTGTACTCTCCTGAGAGTCCCCTTCCCAAACCTTAAAACAAGGCCTGCCAGCACCCCACCCCTTCCTCCCTCTGTCCCCTCCCCACAGCACTGGGTACAGCTGCAGACGCTGAGGCTCAAGGGGGTCAAGTCCCTTCACTACAGTGGCAGAGCTGGGGTGGTCATGTGATATTGTGCTGGCCTAGAGCCAGAACCAGAGCAAAACTATTTTATAAAATGCAAAACTGTTTTTTAAATAAGTTGCAGTGGCTGCCCCATTCTCCTCACAATAACTACGGTCCTTGGCCTCTGTAAATAGAAGTGCTAGTTTGTTCTGCAAAACTACGCAGAGCTGCTTACCTTTCCTTATCAGTAACTGCTAAAATCTGTGACTTCTGTCACCACCCAGACGATGTGTAAACAAATGTATATCTTGACTTCTGTAAACCACTGAAGTAACAAACAGAATGACAAAAGTCCCCTGGCCCTTGGAATGTCCGGAGACCCCCGCCCTTGTCTCCACCCAGGAGGTGAATCACAGAATCCCCTAGCCCTTGGAATGTCCGAAACCTTTTCATCCCCATCCCCGCCCCTCACCCCCACTCCCAAGGTGGTTTTTCGGGTATAAAAGAATCGTGGCACCCTCCTTTTGGCACCACAGGTTGGAGAGACGTGAGTCCTCTGTGGTCGCCGGCATAATAAATGACCCTGCAATCTGGCATACTTTTATCTTGGTGATAACTTTCTACGCTCCCGTCAAATACAACAGTCAGAGACCCTGGACCGCAGCCGAAGGCTCCCATCCTGACCCAGGAAGCCCCTCCTGTGGGGCCTGAGTGTGTTCCCAGGACCAGGATGGGCCAGCCCAGGCAAGAGGCCTCCTGCTGGGAGCCCTGTGGGCGACCTGGCCAGGGACACCAGTAACCACAGGTCCAGGTGGGTCCCGGCCCCAGCCCACCCTCCATTTGCTGGCAGTGACCCCTCTACTCCCCCCCAGGACTCCTGACAGCTCTGCGCAGAGGCCTTGCCCTCCCAGCTGGGTGGACTTCCGCCTTGCCACTGGGCTCCTTCCCCATCTCCTGGCTGCCAGCTGCTCCCCTCCTGCAGCCTCAGTTTCTGCATCTGTAGGTTGAGAATAACAAGATTCCCCGACCAGACTACTGGGAGGGCTGGGGGCCCTGGGAGAGGGAAGGGGATGCAGGTGTTCATCTTCTCCTGGGGACAGAAATGCCAAGAGCTGGGTGGAGCCAGGTCGGGGAGGCACAGCCATGGGCTCCAGCCCCAGCCGCAGCAGCCACTCTGTGGCCCAAGCTAGCCCCGGCCCTGAGTCTGCCCATCCTTAAGCACGGTGAGCACTGCCAGGCCTAGTGGCTGAGGGGTAGGCCCAGCCCAGCTTCCATCCCCAGGGGTTCATCAGACCCAGCACTGGGGCAGGGCGCCCGGCCCGCAGCACATGGATGGGGACAAACCAGCCAGCTGGGCTGCCCCCGACAGGGACAGAGGCAAAGAGGGCTCCCAGGGTCCCGGGGCCAGCACAGCTCTGTGCTTCCTGCATTGTCAAATCCAGGCCTCGAAAAGGACTTCAGGGGACCAGGCTGCTCCCGAGAGACCCCAGATGTCCTGGCTCTTCCCTAGGGGGTCTTGGGCCAACAGAGGACTGAAGACCCAGAGGAAGGCAACACAGGGTCAAGATGGGCCCCTGAGGGTCCCCAGTCCTTTGTAAATTACCTCATTCTCAGCCAGCCTGGCTGCCCCATGGCTGGGCGCCTGAGGCCTTCCTGGGCATGGGCATCGCTGCCCTCTGCAAAGAACAAACGCTGACTCCCTGGCCTCTGCCCAAACACGCAGTCTCTCAGGCTCACACTCACACAACTCCTTACCATTCACCAGCTCCCACCGGCTCTGCCCTAACTCGCCCCCTCCGCCCTGCCAACCTCTGCCCCTCGCCAAGGGAACCCTCCAATCCAATCCCATAAGTCACGGTCCCTGAGCTGCGCTCAAAGCCTCTGTCACCTTTCCTCGCTTGTGGAACAAACCCGCCCTCCTTCTTCTGCCCTTCGCTGCTCCCACCTCGGTGCCTGCAGAGGAGGCTTCCCTGGAACAAACCCACCCTCCTTCTTCTGCCCCTCGCCGCCCCACCTCGGTGCCTGCAGAGGAGGC